CATATCATTCTAGGGAAAGAAGCTTTGTTTTCTCCTTAGAAATCCTAGTTCTCTTTTTTTTTGGGGGGGGGGTCCAGTCATGGGGCCTGAACTCTGAGCTTGGGCGCTGTCCCTCAGCTCTTCAGCTCAAGGCTAACGCTCTACCACTTGAACCACAGCACCACTTCCGGCTTTTTTCTTTTTTCTTATGTGGTGCTGAGGAATCGAACCCAGGGCTTCATGCATGCAAGGCAAGCACTCTACCACTAAGCCACCTTCCCAGCCCTCCTTCTTTTTCTATACTTCTGTTTCAAGTAGTTTTATTTGCTTAGATAACCCTAAAAACCTTCATCAAGAATATTTTCAAGGAAATTAAAAACTCTTCCAAATGAATTATCCAATTCCGGCTTAAAAAATACTAGTAATTAGGAAGAACTCTAGATGAGTGGATATTGCAGTACTCAAAACCTTTCTTCATTTTCCAAGTTACTACTCAAACTTTGAAGGAGGAACTGAAGAGAATGTAGTTGTAGGGGTGGTGGGAGTGGTGGTCATGGTTTAAGTGCTTTACCCCAGTTTGAGTTTGCTTTTCACTACAAACCTGTAAGTACATCTGTATACATCTCTCACAATTGTCAGAATCCTCTTTTTGTAAGAAATTTAGGTTTAGAGTGTTCAATTTATTAAAAATCGGCTAGCAAGTAAGTTGAGGAACCCTGGCAAAAACCAGGCAATCCGATTCCCATACCAAGGTACCTTATCCCTATAATATACCTGTTAGAGCACAATTTAGGTCTTTTGTTATTGCTTATTCTGACTTCCTTAGTGTTCACTGGTAAATAACTAAGCATTTTGCTCAACTTTTTAACAAAATCAATCCATCTGCAGTGGATAATGGGACACTATAAACTGTAGAAATAGATACTGTTAAATCATACTTAATTATCTATAATAAATTGTTTGAATGCCACTTATTGTTTAATCTCATTTTCATAGCAAATACAAAGAACAATGTTTACTGTCCTCCAGGACACATAGTAGACATATACGGTAATAGAGATAACCAATGATTAATTAAAATGATGCTATTTTTGCAGGTGAGTAGGTAACTGATAATCCAGACATTGGAAGTTAGTCCCATGTCTCTACTGTGTTCACCAATTCCAGTATCTGGACTATCACTCTGTGTATTTTGGAACTTGATTGTTGTTGTTTTTTTTTTGAGTTGAGTCAATGGAAAGGTATATAAGAAGAAACAATTCAAGCTTACCAAATCAGTACATAGGAGGATATATCAGAATTCCTATTTATTAATCCCTATTGAGGGAAAAATATGTTTATAAAAATGGTAGGGACTTCTTCAGCCTGTGGCATATTTTGTTTTATACAAAATTTTGTCACTGAGAATAATTAGAAACTTAGTTAAAATGAAGAAAAAAATCCTTGAAGATATTAGATAATTATTAAGGGAGGGGCCTGAAGGATCAAGGAACTTATAGAGATGAGTACCTAACATTTGGCTGTGCTTCTTCTCTTGAGGAATCTGCTGATAAAGCTAAGACATTGGGCAGCCTTTTCAATAGTCTCCGGGGCTAAGGAGACAATAATTAGGAAGAAGGGCCTCAGGGCTAACCCAGGCTGTCATCTGGGACCACTGAAGATCTAACTTTTATGGCCCTGCTAGAAATAGAGCAGCCCCCACAAAGATTGAAGCATAGCTTCCAGGCAACTCAGTCTCAAAATGGATTAGGATTATGTGTCTCAGCCACATGGTTTTCAAAGTGTTGTCTCTAGGTCAGCATCATCAGCTGAGAAATAAATAGGAATAAAACTCTTAGCCTTACACCCAAACTTACTGAAGCTAGAATCAGGTTGGGGAACCTAGCAAGTAATTCTGACACAAGTGAAAATTTGAGAAGGAGTTTCTTAGCATTACTGTCAGATGTAAAGAATATTCTTTCTGGGGCTGGGAAGGTGGCTCAGTGGTAGAGCGCATGCCTTGCATGCCAGAGGCCCTGGGTTCGATTCCTCAGCACCACATAAGCAAAAAAAAAGAATATTCTTTCTGAGGGATGATGATATCTTCCACCACAAGTTTTCCCTATATTTTTAAATTAAATATGTTTCTGGTTTTACTTTAAAAATTACTAAGATATGCCAACATATAAAATTGATTTTGCAAATAACAAAAAGAAAAACAAAATAGATTATAGGAATATAGACGTTGATATTATCAGTCATGGGTTTTCAAATGATTATGATTAATATGTTCAAGGAAATAAAAGATGGAGAATTTCACCAGAGAACTTCAATTTTCTAAAAAAATAATCAAGTGGAAATAACTGAAATTAAGAAATTCAGTTGGTGGTTTTATAGCAGGCCAGCTAAATGTGAGAGCTGGTGGCATGGTTTAAATGGTGGAGCACCTGCCCAGTAAGTGTTAAGATCCTGAGTTCAAAAGCAGTATTCCTAGAAGGAGGGGGAAAAGGGAGGGAAAGAAGGAGGAGAGGAGAGGAAAACAAAAAGAGAGAGAGAGAAAATATTGTGACTGAAACTAAGAGAGATAAAGGGATATGAAAGGCATAGTAATTAAAACATGGCCAATAAGACCTAGAGTATACAATAGGAGTACCAATCCACAGAGTACCATTTTTTACAAGGTAGTTAAGCAATGGTTTTTCTGATTCGGTCATTTGATAGATATTTCCTTGAAAACTAAAACAAAACAAAACAAGCCTGGTAATTATTTGTTGTCCATTAAAGATTTAAACTTTCAATGTTCAAACAGTGTATTTGGGGCAAATTTATACTTTTGTGCTCTTTTGTGGTCATATGTATCTCAGGCCAAAGTAGACCTGTTTCTTCTCATTAGATCTGAACCATGAAAGCTAAAGATTGTATACTGTTCTGAAAAACTGCAACAGAATCACACTTCTACTTGGATATTGTAAAACTGGGAATCTGAGGCAGTATCGCAGAATTATAAAAAGATCAGTGTTTGAAACATTCTGGTAATAAAAGCATTATATAGTTCAAAAAATTAGTTTTAGAAAATTTGTAGTTGTCATTGTAAATGATGACAACTTCCCAGTATTTAAAGATTATTTAAAGATTCAAAGCTCTATTAAAGAATGTATGTATTACTTGGGCATGAAGATATATGTTTGTAATCCCAGCACTTCAGAGGCTGAGGCAGGAATTGCAAATTGGAGGCCAACCTTAAGATAAAGAGTGAGTACCAATCTAGTCTGGGCTTTAAAATAAGACCCTGTCTTAAATTTGTGAATACTGGATAGATCTTCCAAATGACTGATTAAGACATGATATTATAATATCATGCATGTCAGGTGTGTACCACTACACCCAAATTTTTTTGTTGAAATAGGGATCTTACAAACTCCTCACCTACACTGGCCTGAAACTATGATTCTCCTGATCTTAGGCTCTTTTGCAGCTAGAATTTCAGTCACACACGATCATATCCAGATATTGATTGAAATAGGGTTTTTCAATCATTTTTCCCTTGCTGGCCTTGAATCATGATCTTCCCAATCTCAGCCTCTCAAGTAGCTAGGATCATAGGTATGATCTGCCAGCACCCATTTAAGACTGTGAAACTTTTATTTAAAACTTTCCTACAAAGAGTACTCTAAACTTATTCTATTATTCTTCTATTGGTGAAATCATTAAGGAAATCTAAATCTTACACACAGTTTTACAGAAAATGAATAGGAAAACTTCCTAACTCCCTAACTCATATAACTCATTCATAAAGCTAGCCACTATATTGCCAGAAGGGAAAATTATAGGCCAATTTCTTTTAAGAACATGAACATAGAAGCTGGGTGCCAGTTGCTCACGCCTGTAATCCTAACTACTCGAGGCTGAGATCTGAGGATTGTGGTTCAAAGCCAGCCCTGCAGGAAAGTCCGTGAGACTCTTATCTCCAATAAACCATTCAGAAAACAGAAAGTGGCTCTATGGCTCAAGTGGTAGAGCACTAGCCTTGAGCTGAAGAGCTGAGGGACAGCACCCTAGCCCAAAGTTCAAGCCCCATGACCGACAAAAAAAGGTGAACATGGGAATTTTAAACTAAATAATAATGAATCTATATTAAAACTACATATGCATTTTTAAAAAATGGTGCATCTTGGGCTGGATATGTAATTCAGATGAAGAATGCTTGCTAGGCCCTAGATTCCATCCTCAGCACAAAAGACAGACAGAAAGACAAAGAGAGAAAGAAAAGGAAGGAAAGATGGAAGGAAGGGAAAGAGGGAAAAGAAAAGAAAGGGAGAAGAGCGAGGGATGGAGGAGGAGGGAAGAAAGAAAAGAGAAAAGCTAAAATATATAACATAAAACTCTCTTAGCATGACTTGTATAGAAAGGAAAAGGAATTACTTTAATTTGATAAGTCATATCTGAAAAAAAATACAGTAGATGTTACACATTTTTTTTTTTGGGTCCGGTCATGGGGCCTGAATTCTGGGCCTGGGCACTGTCCCTCAGCTCTTCAGCTCAAGGCTAGCGCTCTACCACTTGAGCCACAGCTCCACTTCCGGCTTTTTTTTTTCTGCTTATGTGGTGCTGAGGAATAGAACCCAGGGCCTCAGGCATGCAAGGCAAGCGCTCTACCACTGAGCCACCTTCCCAGCCCAGTAGGTGTTACACTTAATGATAAAAATGCTGAAAGTGTTCTCTCTGAAGTCAGGAACAGAAAGCATGTATATCTCCTTTTGCCCTGTCCTAGAACTTCAACTCAAAGCATGATGGCAAAAAAGAAAATAGAAATTAGTTAGAGAAGGAAGAAATAAAATCTTTATTTTACCGATTCTTATGAAGGGTAACACATTTAGAAATAATGTTTTGAATACTGTCACATTTACTGATGCTGAATAGAATTCTTGTTTTTTTGACTCTGGCAAGGTTCATTCTTAGAGTGTAGACATCTCTTCAGGAATGGCAGCACCTTATCATTCCTTGAACAGTGCTCTTATTTCTGCCTATTCTTTTCTCTACAGGTCCTATCTGACTCCTGTACGTGATGAGGAAGCAGAGTCTTTACGGAAAGCACGTTCCAGACAAGCTCGGCAGACACGAAGATCTACTCAAGTGGGTGAAACTTTCTTTTTACTAATGTATTTTTGTTTGTCTGCCTTTCCACTAGATGTGCATTTTAAACATTCTACAACAAATGCCTTTGTTCCAGCTACTGTATTAAAGTTTTTCTTTAAGTTTAATTTTCCATTGCACTCAATAGCTGCATCTGACTACTCTTTCACTTCTGTTTGCCGCCTGTCTCATTTCTCCAAGTTCTAAGCAAAATGAATTATTCTACTTGTACTTAAGGATGTGAACAATCTCTCTACCCTGTTACATTTTAAGATTCTCTAAGGAAAAGCAGTTTAGCTGTTCCTCCAAATGTTTTCATTTGACCCAGCAATTCTACTTTTAGGTATATACATTAGAGACATATGCCCATATAAAAACTTGTATATAACCTGTAATCCTAGCCACTCAGGAGACTGATATCTGAGGATTAAAGTTGGAAGCCAGCCAAGGCAGGAAAGTCCATGAGACTTACCTCTAATTAACGACCAAAAAGCCATGTAGACATGTGGCTCAAGTAGTAGAGCACTGGCCTTGAGCAAAAAGGCTAAAGAAGGGCTCCCAGAACCTGAGTTCAAGCTCCAGGACTGGCAAGAGGAATAAACAGACAAACTTGTATATGGATGTTTATAATAGCATTATTCATAATATCCAGAGTAGAAACAAACCACCAATTCATAGGAACAAATAATAATATTCCATATATGTATGCATATATGTATGCATTTTTATGTATATCCATTAACTAATGAGTGAATAGGCAAAATATGTATGTCCATACAGTAGAATGTTATATGACATTAAAAACTAATGAGGTAGCTGGGCATTGGTGGCTCACACCTGTAATCCTAGCTTGAGATCTGAGGATCAAGATTCAAAGCCAGCCTGGGCAGGGAAGTCCATGAGACTCTTATCTCCAATTAACTACCAGAAAATGGGAAGTAGTGCTGTGGCTCAAGAAGTAGAGCGCTGACCTTGAGCTGAAGAGTTGAGGGACAGCACCCAGGCCCAGAGTTCAAGCCCCACAACTGACAAAAAAAAAAACACAACTAATGAGGTATTGACACATGTTACAATATGGATAAAACTCAATAAGTGAAAGAAACCAGACATAATGGACTCTATATGTCCAAAATAGGCACAACCAGACAGAAAGAAGGTTAATTAGCATAAGCAGCTTCAGGGAGGAAGAATGAGAGTTAACTACTAATGGGCATAAGGTTTCTTTGGGGGTGACAAAAATGTCCTACTATTATCAGTTATAATTGCATAACTATTACATACTAAAAGCCATGGAATTATACACTTTTTTAAAGAGTACATTTTATGAGATGCAGGTTATATTTCAATATAAATTATCACCCAAAAGCAAAAGAAAAGTATTGCAAGAACCATTGGAAGTATGTGATACAATCTATATAATATTTTACAAAAATCTCCATTCAGAGAATTAATGGGAGTGGTGGTAGAGTATGTTTGGCAAGGCAAAAAACCAGAAGACTTGCTAGGCAGCTGTTAATGGTGGTCCAAGCTGAAAATGACAAGTTCATGACCCAGGTTGAAATGGCAGTGACAATGGAGAGAAAGCTATAAATTAATTACTTAAGGAGTCATAGAAAGATGAGCTCATGTAGCAGAGAGAAAAGGAATATACAGAAAAGTGAAACAAAAATCAGAAAAGAGCAGTGACACTGGAAATGAAGGAAAAATCAGTTTCCAGCAAAAAGGATATGTTTGCCAGATTTAAATGCTACAGAAGTCAAATAGGGAACTTGGTGACTGCGAAAAGGACATTGTGCATTGCAGCAAAAGGCCCTTGTTGTCTTCCCTGGACCTCCCAAGTGGGTCAAATATTCTGCCGTTATTTTTGCTTAATGATTATTTGTGTGTTCCACTTATTAGAATGTATCCTCCATGAGGACCAAGACTCACTGTTTTTTGTTTTATGGCAGTAAATATATATAACATAAAATTTACCAATTAACCATTTTGTACATAGGTCATTGGTATTAAGTGCAGTGACCTCGTTGTGCAGCTGTCACCACTCTAGAACTTGTACCATTATGCGGTTATTCCCCACTTATCCCTAGCAGCCAGTATTCTACTTTCTGTTTCTATAAGTTTGACTACTTTAGGAATCTCACATAAGTAGAATCATATAGTTATTTGTCTGCTTGTATCTAACTTATTTCACTTAGCATAATGTCAAGATTCATCCATTGTATAGCATGTGTGACAATTTCCTTTTTAAGTTGGGTAATATTCCATTGTATGTATATGCCATGTTTTATTTATCCATTTGCCTATTGATAAACATTTGACTTTTGTGAATAATGCTGCTATGAGCAGGGTGTATACTGTCTGCCATACTGTCTTTTCAAGATCCTATTTTCAGTTCTTTTGGATATATACTTAGAATTGGAATTTGCTGCATCATCTGGTAATCGTTTCTAATTAAATTAATTAATTTACTTTTATTAAGATTTTTGAGACAAGGTCTCACTATGTTAGTTTAAACTAGTCTGAACTTGCTATGGACCTTACGCTGGCCTTGAACTTGTGAGCCTCCCCCCTCCTTAGTACTGGGATTACAGGCATGTACCCTGTAATTCTATTTTAAATTTTTGAGAAACTGCCATACTATTTCCGTAGCAGACCCACCAATTTATATTCCTATAGGTATTGCACAAGGTTCTAATTTGTCCACATTCTTGCTAGTACTTGTTTCCTGGTTTCACCATCCTAATGGAAATGAAGTAGGAAACTGATCATATTTTTGTTTATAATTTTCTCCCACAGCACATAGTAAATAAACAATCCACATCTGTATTTATTGGATAAATGAGTGAGAGATAAATGGTAGGGGAATATAAACATTTCTATATGATTCCCAGAATTACTTAGAAAATAATGTTAGAGAAAAACTAATCTAGGGTAGTAAAAGGATTTTTTTTTGTTTCTGTTTTTGTTTTTTATTGTTGTTATAAGCTAGCTCTAAATTTTCATCTTTTGAGCCTTTATTCCTTGAATAGCATTCTGTGAGTTGTCTCCTGATTCTGGTAACGGTTTCCTTTGATATATAGAAACTTTTAATTTGATGAAATCCTATTTGTTAATTCTTGGTCTTATATTCTAGGCAATTGAATTCTATCCAGAAAATAATTGTCTGTGCCTGTATCTTCCAGTGATTTCCTTGTATTTTTGTGTTGTAGTTTCAAAGTTCTAGACCTTACATTAAGATCGTTGATCAAAAGCTAGGCACTGGTGGCTCATGCCTGTAATCCTAGCTGTTCAGGAGGCTGACATCTGAGGATCCACAATTCAGAGCTAGCCTGGGCAGAAAGTCAGTGAGACTCCTATCTCCAATAAACCACTCAGAAAACAGGAAGTGGCGCTGTGGCTCAAGTGGTAGAGCACTAGCCTTGAGCTGAAGAGCTGAGGGACAGTGCCCAGGCCCAGAGTTCAAGCCCCACGATTAACAAAAAAAAGAAAAAGATTGTTGATCAATTTTGAATTGGTTTTTGTGCAGGATAAGAGAAGGTTAGTTTCAATTTTCTATATGTAGATAATCCTTTCTTTCTTTCTTTCTTTCTTTCTTTCTTTCTTTCGTTCATTCATTCTTTCTTTCGTTCGTTCATTCTTTCTTTCGTTCTTTCTTTCTGTTGTGGGGCTTGAACTCTGGGCCCTGGGCACTGTCCCTCAGCTCTTCAGCTCAAGGCTAGCACTTTACCACTTAAGCCACAGCACCACTTCTGGTTTTCTGGTGGTTAATTGAAGATAGGCGTCTCAGGGACTTTCCTGCTTGAGCTAGCTTTGAATCATAATCCTCAGATTTCAGCCTCCTGAGTAGCTAGGATTACAGGCATGAGCCACCAGTGCCTGGCTATAAAACCAATTTTTCCAGCACCATTTGTTGAAGAAATTGTGTCTGATTTTTCTAGCAATTTTTTCCCAGTAACTGCTGTTGAGAGAATCTCTGGTTAGCCATTTGATCTTGAGAGAGAGTAAGAGTGTTCAAATAAAGATACTTTGTACACTATGTATATGGAAGAAGTACACCTGTAGCACCTATGTATGAACACTATGTACATGGAAGAAGTATACCTGTGACAGGCAGACATCAATGTTGGCCTATTTCTGGAGATAACACTAGGAATGCTAAAGTATTGCATTCAAAATGTATCTAGACTCAAGCCTGTGTTCTCTACATACTGTAGTGTTTATTTTAATCCTGCATTTAAGTGTCTTCATTGTACATTTTGGGACCATAATGGGATTCATAACTATTTGATTTTGGAGAGAGTTTCCCTGCTCAAGTTATTCCATATTAGTGTGAAACTGTCCTGATCTTGAGATATTTTCCTAGGGTGTTACCCTAACAGACCTTCAAGAAGCAGAAAGGACTTTCAGCCGGTCAAGGGTAGAGAGGCAAGCGCAGGAGCAGCCTGGAGAGAAGCCTGTAGACACTGAAGCACCAGAGAAGAGTACTGAGAAGCAGGATCCCTCCATAGCCCCAGCAAAGGAAGCTGAGGAAGGTCAGCAACCCCGGGAAGAGGTGAGCTTATTTATTCTGGCTGTGTGACAAGCAGAATAGATTTGGAGAATTCTAGTGATACTCTACCATGCAGTGAACCACTCATTTTAAAAAATACCGTATTTGAACCAGCCATGGTGGTACATGCCTATAATCCTAGCATTAAGGAGGATGAGATAGGAATAATATTGAATAAGTCTATTATCCTTATTGTTTGGCTCTATTTGACCTCTGATATCTCATTCTGGTTTGTTCTAGCCTGTCTATCATCACATGAGGTATCCATCTCAGCTAGACAAGCCCACAACACCAGTGTCTCCTTCTACATCAAGACCTTCATTCTATACCAGTTCCCATCTGCTACAGACAAGCAAATCTTCAGCCCCCGATTCTGAGAGTTCAGAGACCACCACAAATACTGCAACTGCAAAGGAAATGGACAAGAGTGGTATGTATAGTTTGGAAAGATGTTGACTGTTCCCCAGTGCACATGCCTCAGCTTCTTAAGATACATACTGTGTTTTATCTCTGACCAGAGAGCAAAGAAGCAGATTTAGATGATCAGTCCTCTGATAGGCTTTCCATCCGAGAGAGGAGGCGGCGGCGAAGAGGCACAGGCATCAACTTCTGGACAAAGGATGTAAGTGGGTTAGTCCATGCTCGGGCATACCACATTTCCCATGGCTGCCATCTCCTTTCTGTGGAGTTGAAGAGGATAAGCCCTACATGGTGCCCTGATCTAGAAGATTACCAAGAACTATCACTGAGGAAAAGAGAAGAAAGATTCAGCTAGTAGGAGACCCATTTGATGTGTTCCTTCTAAGTGCACAATGCCTAGAACAGTACTAAACATATTGTAGGCACTCAGTATTTAACGGATAAGGAATTTTAAAAAGCTAGCCATTTACAGTTACTATATAAACAACTAAAAGAAGTGACTAAACTTGGCAAACTTTAGCAGCCCTCCTGAATAACTCCTGAAACTCATAGACTCAATAGTATCCTACTACACATAAGTTTAGAGCCTAATAATCTGTAGGTTAATCTAAGTTTTGTTGACCTAGTTTTTTACTTTTTGGAGAGAAATAAAAAAGAACAAATAATAGAAAACAGAAGACTTGAGCCTTTAAAGAGGTACACCAATGCTTACTAACTACAAAACAGTCAATACTTTAGAGCACTCTCCTCTGTATCCTGTTCTAGATTCTTTTCACTCAACCTTACTGCTGGCATTTTAAATGAAATGCCCAACAGTTTGAACTAGAGGCTACATATTATCAGTGATTCATTTGAAAATTAAATAAACCTATTAAGTGAAATAAAAAATAGTTATTTACTAGGAAGTATATTTTAGCTGAAAGTGTTTCTTAGTTATAGGACCAATGTAGTGGTAATTCTTTTTTCTCTAGTGCTGGGGATCAAACCTAGGGCCTTTCACATGCCAAGTAAACAAATGACTATACCATTAAGCTATATTATCTGTCCATAGGTGATAACGTTTGACAGAGATGAAATGAAATCTTGCTTTTTTAAAGTGCCTCATTTTTAGCTTTTGTTGACTTGATGTTTTTGACTGGTAACATTTCAAAGTTGCCTCCCTGTGACAGTTGTTAAAAGTGGCAATAACAGAGCATCACTTTGCTGTCAATCCCCATTTCCCATATTTGAAATAGTAAGATGCATAGCTGATAGGAACTGACCTTGCTGGTTTCAAAGACACCAGTGACCATGATTTTCTTGTTTTTCTTCTTTCCTTTTCAGGAAGATGAGGGTGATGTCCCTGAGGAGGTCAAAGAAACATGGGTAAGTGACAAGCCAGTGAGGCATGGTCCCCTTAGGGCTCAGTTTTGTTCTTATGAATACAATTTTAGTAAAATAGCAAGTTCTATGAAAATTTGAGAGCTATTGCCAGTGTTAGTTGGTAGTACTTTCTTATGTCATATAACAGTGCCCATACTCATAAACAAGTTTCTAGTATCTGTCTGTGCCAGCTGCTAATCACTAACACCATTATAAGTCCCACTTCTTTCTCTCTTGATTGTTACTAGAGTTTATCAAATACTTTGAAATCTTTGGAAGAAAAGTGAAAAATGATGACATTTCCTCATGGATCTACACTAATAGAAAAGAAAATAAGTGTGGAAAATGTAAAACATCAGACAGTCTACAAATAATTTATATTTGACTTACTCCAAACTTTTAAAGCCTAGCAGTGAACCCTTTTCTGAAGGGTAAAGCCTGTATCCAGCATGGCTAAAGATAGGTCAGGTTCTTATGAGTCACTCAGACACTAGAGAATGCTGGGTTGGGGAGTGTCTTCTCACAACTACTTGCAGGAGGAAAGGAATTTGGTTTTGACTAAATTATTTGAAGTGATTTGATTAATGTGCTTTTTTTATGGCAATTATATAAACAGATAGCCTTTTAGTACCCGTCAGTTTATTGGATATGTATTCTCATATCTCATATTGTCATGACTATGCTTAATGACCCATAGGGGAAATCAACAGTGAACTGACTTTAGCAAAGAAGATATAAATAGTAAATTATTGTTGACCTGCCTATATTTTAGTCAAGATCCCTAAGATTTTGTTGGTACATGCCTATAATTTCAGCGCTTCTAGGAGGTTAAGACAGGAAAGCCACAAGTTTGAGACTACCTGGGATCCTTAATAAGACCTTGTCTCAAAAAGTAAGAAAAAAAAATCTCATGCAATCGATGGCAGCTTTCCTAAAACAGTACTGATGAATGGTAACAACAGCAATGAGAATTGCCTACCTTTAGTTGAAGCTGAGGCTGTTTCACCAAGTATGAGTTATGTTTAGAAATAACACATAGAAATTCCCTTGGGGCAAGTATGTATATGTGTTTGCATGCATACAAATATCAGCATCTCTACAGCTCTTTAAAGACTTGAAAAGGCTTTTGGAGTCAAGAAGAGTAAATATAGGAAAGTTCCTTTGGGGAACTCTGCTTAGAGAATTTAAGTAATAAATTACAAAGCATTGAAATGAACCATATAACCTTGTTATAATCCAGGGAATTATAACAAAGAAGTTTTATATAGAATGCCACTAGTCAGTAAAAACCTTTATTGTTTGTTTTTTTTTAGACAAGGTCTTGCTATGCATCTTAGGCTGATTTTAACTACACTATACCACCCTGGCTGGCCTCAAACTCATTATATTCCTGGATCTACCTGCTGAGGCCTGGATTACAGGCATGCATCAACCATGCCTGGCCTTGTCTCTACTTCATTAAGCTTCTTGCCTCTTTGAAATCCTAATCTAGGGCATTAAGTAAGGGTATTAATATTGAGATATTAGTTCTTAGAGAATTTTATCTAGGGCCATTGACTTGAAATTACAGAAAAGTCTGGTTGGTGAGGAAAAGCAGAGACTGTTGAGATTTAGTATGAAAATCACTTGTCAGGCTAAAAAATATTCCACAATCCAAATGCTTGAGGCATCTACTACTGTTTACCATGTGTCAGACAGACTACAGTGTGACTCTAAGAAAAGAATGAGCATCCTGTTACTGCTAGATGCCCTTTCTAATGTGTGCAAGTCATCTGGAATTGGTACGAGCACTTAGCAGATGTCATCCTTCAGCCTCACAGTTCTAGAAAAAGAAAGGCAGATAGGGATTCAACCTGGGTGAGGCATCCTTCTAAGTCTTAAATTTGCTTGCTTCACTTATATCAATGAAACATATCAACTTATATCAGTGAAATTCTTTATCTGTTTTTCTCTCTGTATATTCTTTCAATGCTAGTAGGTATGAAGCCATTATCCATATTGGCCAAAGAGCAAAATACTCAATGATGGCCCAGTGTAAGCTGCTGTAACTGTACCTCAAGACAATCAGAAATGTTGTATGAAGAGTATGATCACTCTTTCATACCTTCATGTCCATCATTCAGGCAACATAATTGACTCAACTCTACAACATATATGCCAGTCAAAGGAGAGGCATTCTGTTGGAATAGCATGTTAGCTAATCAGCATGGAGACTGATGAGAACTGCCAGAGCAGTTCTTCCTTTCTTGGTTTTAGTTCAATAGAACTTTATTGAGGTCATGTTCATTTTCTCCTGCCCCACTCCTTAATATTGATGCTAACTAACTCCTCCCAAAACTTTGAAATCCTTCAAGCTGAGATATAATTTATAATCAGTAAAATGCATAGATTTCAAATGTCCGATTTGGTGACTTTTGATACTTGTATCAGCATAGCCACCACCTCAAATCAGCTTCAAACTCTTTCATAATGTTAAAAATTCACCCTTGTGCTTTCCAGTCAGTTACCTGTACCAGGAGAGTCAATCATGCTCCACGTTTCTGTCACCATAGAATATTATTCCCCATTCTTTAATTTCAGATGTATGGAATCATTCAGTAATTAATTTTGGAATAGAAAGACAACTTCAATAGTTATTATTTGTATCTTATGCCTGTAGTAGGAATTAAAGCTGAAATGATTCCAATATATGGATTTTTTGTTCTTTGCTTAAAGATTTCAGAAGATTGTATCAGTAACAGTATGGTCTGGGAAGCCTTTCTGTTGTTTAACCTAAAAAGCCCCGTTGATATCATTTAAATCCATTTTCTCTTCTACGTACCTAGAAAAATGTGGGCAAGATTTACATACAAATAAGATTACCTGGCCACAGACAGCCCTGTCTGTGGATGATAGAGATAACCAGCCTTGTTTAGTGACACACTCCCCCAACAAAGAATGGCTACATAGTGCATGCTTTTAGTCAAAACCTGTCTCCACTAGTAAATCTATCCATCAGTGAGACTGACAAAGAGTTTATAATTTTCTGTCTTAGCACCTTCTTGACAGACATGTTTCAAGCAATTCTGTTTCATTGTCCACATTAAGTATGTGTCAGAATGTCTCTGGAAATCTTAAGATATCTTTTGTCTTTGTAAGTGAAAAAGAAACTGCATCTGAATGTTAATTTTTATCTATTTCAGTCATTTATATTTAAGGGTACTTTGTTTTCTTTACTATGAAATAGCATCCCCTGTATCTATGGGAGTACTTTCTTTTTTTAAAATTCTTATTGTAAAGGTGATGTACAGAGGGGTTAGTTACGTAATTTAGGTAAAGAGTACATTTCTTTTTGAGCTGTCTCTCTCCTTCCCTCTCTTTCTCCCAGTTTTTCCCTCCTGTTCCCCACACAAGTTGTATAGTTTATTTTTATCATAATGTCTAGTGAGTTCATTCTTTGTCCCACCATTTCTATGCTCCCCCCAAAAGATAAACTTACAAACAAGACAAAAGGTACAGAAAACAAAAACACAATCAAGGAGGAAAAAACAAAACAAAATAACAAAAAATGCCCAACACTGGTGGCTCACACCTTCAATCCTAGCTACTCAGGAGGCTGAGATCTGAGGATTGTGATTCAAAGCCAGCCCAGGCAGAAAAGTCCCTGTGAGATTCTTATCTACAAATTAACCACTCAAAAACCAGAAGTGACTCTGTGGCAGTATCCAGGCCCTATGTTTAAGTCCCATGACCAACAACAAAAAACAAAAAAAAACCTCTTGTTTCTATTTCTTGGAGTTCATTTCGATAACTATCATTTTATGTGATCAAATGCACATAGCTATTGAGCCTTTGTGATTCTCCCCTAAGAATATCCTATTTTGGTCTCACTGTGTGAGTATCTAGAGTCCTATATAATTTATCATGCCCCAGTGTATTTTTTGTCTTTTACCATCCAGTGTATTCTTTCTAAGACCTTCAAGTTCTGTGTGTACCTATAGGTACATACTAATGATGTTTAATTAGCCACAAGAAAAGGTTAACAATAATAATGATAAAATGGAACTTATAGTAATATACTATAACAAAATTACCCAGAATCACTACTTTTGTGCTTTAAGACTATTACTAAGTAAAATAAGGGTTATTTAAAATACAAGCACTGAAATACTGATGTCTTAATGATAACCCAATAACTGAGAATGTTTTTGGATGACTAACAGGTGGCAGTATATGCCTGTATCTAGAGATACTCTACATAAAGGGGTGATTCATATTCCAGAAATGACAGAATAGGATTGCATAAGATTCTCCCACACTTGGGGCTGGGAAGGTGGTCAGTGGTAGAGGGCTTGCCTTGCATGCATGAGGCCCTGGGTTTGATTCCTCAGCACCACATAAACAGAAAAAGCTGGAAGTGGCGCCATGGCTCAAGTGGTAGCGCTAACCTTGAGCTCAACACCCAGGCCCAGAGTTCAGGCCCCACAGCCGACAAAAAGAAAAAAAAAAAAAAAAGATTCCCCTACACTCTTCAGAACAACATATGCTTTTGAAGTTGTGAGTTATTTACCTGGATTTTCATTTAATATTTTCAGGAAGCAGCTAACTGTAGGCAACTAAAACCATGGAAAGCATCACGTGGAGGTAGGGCTTCTGTAATAGTAATTGCATAGAATTGTTTTAAAAGGAACACTCAAAGGCATGCTATTTGAATTCCTTCCCCTTCTGTGCCCTGCCTTCTTTTTGCTTTTTTTTAAGGTAGCTTAAAAAAAAATGCTTTATAGTGATTGGGCACTGCTGAGTTTGAACTTAGGACTTCTTGATTGGTAGGCAGACTCTCTACCACTTGATCTATGCCCCAGCCCTTTTTTGCTTCAGTTATGGTGTGGAGTTTTAGTTTCTAGTCTCACATTTGTATCCCAGACCAGCCTCAGATCCAGGTGTCCTCCTACCTATGGCTTCCTTGTATCTGGGATCACAGTTATGCCACCATTCTTGCCTTATTGAGATGGGGTCTTGCTCAT